GAAAACAACCAAGCTCATAGAACCCCAAGGACTCCACAGTTCACCCCTGAGCTACACATATTCTCTTCTATTGAAATCTAAATCTGCTTCAACCTAGACAAATGTTTCTCCTCAACGGTTATCTTATGAGGGTATTTCTTCATTCTTTTACTGCTCTGATTTTTACAGTCCTTCCAGTAATACATTAATTAATATTATACTGATTTATCTATTTTGTGGCTACTGGCCACAATAATATGATGCAACATTTTTCTCCTACCAAACTTTCCATCACTATTCACGGTGCAAAATTATGGAAAATGCAGCAACCTTCTGTCAGGATGATTAGAAAGTCTGGGGTTTCTGAAAGCATCACTGTTCACTTCTTCCTAGCTAATCCTGGGACAGAATTTTTCAGGAACTGGAAGTGAACTGCTGGCATTAGTTTTACTAGTGGGACAGTGTGGATGGGGGTGAAATGAAGAACAGGCAACATTGAAAACAATTTCTGGGCCAGAAGGGTTCTTTCAACTGATCCTTCAAAGCATTCCTATAGATTGGAATTAAAGTGGCTGATAGTGATGGTCTCTAGGATGTTTAGCACATGGAGTTGCTCCATGGCTTTGAGTGACACAGGTTTTGATGATGAAGCAAGGGCAATCTGTGGTCCACCATGGAACTGAGAGTACTTTCAGCCAAGATAGAATTGCCTGTGACAGACTGAATTCAAAGTTCTTTCTTACAGGGAAAAAATAAATTAGAGGTACAGGTTTAGGATATGCTAAAGTTTGCAGATCTTCTTCCTGTCTCCCAAGGTCATTCCTACATACCATTAGACAGTGTTCTCTCTGACCCATCTTATACCAACAAAACCAAGGCAGAGTTATTTTGAATTTCTTCCTTATACTTTGTCAGCCTTACTAGGTAGAAACACGACCACCATCTCCTTTACAGCCTGAGAAATTAGGGAGGGTCTCTCCTGAGCCTCTTGCCTCTCCCACTATCCAGCTGCGGACTATGCTGTCTCTTATCTGATTGTTACCTGGACAGTGTCTCTTAACCCAGTCTCCAAAGGTCTTTCTTACATACCATTACACTCTTCCTTCTTCCTTCAATGGTTCACTCACTTCCTTGCATCTCCAAGGCCAGGTCTACATTTCTTCACAATTACAAATTCTAGATCATTCTTTATTGCTCAGAAGTTGCTGAAGACGTCATGGATTATTGTAAAACTTGAACTTCAGCTTTGAACTTTAATCCCTTTTGCAATTAAAAATTACTTACTATATTTCCTAAGAAGATAGGACAAAGAATGATTACAAGCAATAGAACTTCCCCATAAGGAGTCAGAAGAAAAGATTTCTGCTGAACAGTAAAAGAAGACAGCCCGTCTGCATCTTAAGGAGCGATATATTATTTCCATTTGTGGTAACTGCATTTCTTTCATTTGGGATCGGGGATATCTTTCTTGCCTGCATCACTTTTGAATATCTTTATTTGCACATTTATGATATCTGGCTTTGCATTAATATGTTAACTGGTTTCTATCTTTTCAATCTGAATATTCAGGACTCTGTTTTTAAATCACATCTGTACATTAGTTCTACAATTTAAAACTCCAGTGCTGACAAACTCATGTTGAACTATTTAAGATACAACTCTTCAATGCATTGTTTCTTTACATACACACACACATATATCTTTTCACAATTTTGTGAATTGTGGTGCAATATATGGAGAAGTCTAAAATCTGAACCACTACATACAGAAATCTTCCTGCAACCCTTGTCACTGCATGAGGTTAAGTGTGGCAATCATCAAAAGATGCCCTTTTTCCACAACTTTCCCTTTCTGCCAAATATTTTTGCAGACACGTCAGCTAAGAAAATTGCTTTCATCTGGAAGAGACATCTTGACATCCTCAGAATGAAAGCTGTGGTTGGACTCTTTTTTTCAGCGCTCTTCACAACAGGTACCAGTTCCTTAGAAAATCCCCTTTCTCTTCTACACACTGCATTCATGAAACACAGCAATCTGGTTACTGAATTATTTTCAGAGTTTGCGCAATATATTGTTCCATAAACTAGCCAAACAAGGATTCATAGAATACAGTAAATCATAAAATAATTAGCCCAGTTGAAACTAACCAAGCTTAGCTTATTGGAAACCCACTAGATTAGCTGATGATCTCAACACAGGTACACACATCCACACAGGTAGTCCTTTGGGGGCTGAAACCACATATAACTTAGGTGGGGCAGGTAGGGCAAAGGCTACAGGGATGGAGCTACTATGTAAAGTAAACAGGAGCATGAAACGGATAGAAATGGAAGTAAGTTCTTCTTTGTTTCTTGAATTAGAGGGTTGTGTCCTTCTGACCTTCCAACTTTTGTGTCCTTCTAACTGAGCTTCCAACTTTAGGAAGTTTTTATGAAATCTTCTTTCTCCTCTTCTTTCATTCACATTTTCAGAGAAGATCATTGAAAGTAAGTTGTAACTTCAATAGGTCAACCCAGCACAAATTCAACTAGGGTTTACTCCTTTTCCATAACTTAAAAAAAGAACTGATTTTTTTTTTTTAAATGTGGGTATTTATGTTGTTGAGAGTCAGTTTTGTGTTGTGGTTAAGGCATCAAGCTAGAGACCAGGAGACTGGGAGTTCTAGTCCCGTCTTAGGCACAAAGCCAGCTGGGTGACCTTGGGCCAGTCACTCTCTCCCAGCCCAAGGACAATGGCAAACGACTTCTGAAAAACCTTGTCAAGAAAACTGCAGGGACTAGTCCAGACAGTCACCAGGAGTCAATAATGACTCAAAGGTGCACACACGCACACACACAATGATGTTGTTGTCCTTTTTGTCAGCTGCTGAGAGTTTATTTTTGATAGTGGTGGGATATAAATATGATAAATAAATAAATGAGCCCTTTAAAGTCTCTCCTTTCCATAAATAGTATGCTATGAAATCTTTTCTCCTTCCTCTTGTAGGTGCTTGCTTAAAATGTGAATTTTGTACAGTGCTCGGCAAGACCTGTAATGGTGGTGAGACTACATGCTTAGCCGGATCATATACTTGTGGGGGAATTTTGACTGAAGTCAAGATTGGTGAGTAAACGAGATAGATCCATGAATACATGTCAGAAAATATAGAGTCATCCTGCCAAGTAGCCTAATACAGGCTGCTCTGGCAGGCAGCAGTCGCCAGAGTTGTCAGATTTTTCCATTCTTAAATTCAATTTGTCCTGTTTCTGCATTGGACTTTTATTTGAAAATTGCCATCATCATTTGTATGCATTTTGGGCACCTTTATAACACAGGCATCTGTATATAATTCTATCTTTATTTATATTTTTATTAAAATTATTCCACAGTTTAGCTTATTATGTATTTTCGGGAACAAATTTCCTTAATCATGTATTTGAGTATGCTCCCATTAATAATACATGCACTTTCCCTTAATATGTGCATTTCTATACACTTTTCCTCTCACTGGAGAATATCATCTCAAAGTTCAGAGATGTAAATCTCAAAGTATAGCTGGCTTTACACTTGACAAGTTTAGGTATATTAACATTTCAGTGTGAACCAATTGCATTTCTTCCCTTGTGCTCTAGGGAATAAAGAATGGGGGGAAGCACCATAATTATCCTCCTCCTCCTCCTCCTCCTCCTCCTCCTCCTCCTCTTCCTCTTTTTCTTCCTCTTCTTCCTCCTCTATATACTACCTAAATCAAATGAAAAACCAAAGCCACATCGATGTATTGATTGAAGGTGCTGGACTGGAAGCCAGAGACCATGAGTTCTAGTCCTGCCTTAGACATGAATCCAGCTGGCTGACTTTGGCCAGTCGCTCTCTCTTAGCCCTAGGAAGGAGGCAATGGCAAACCACTTCCAAAGTCCTACCAAGAAAGCTGCAGGGACTAGTTCATGTAGTCACCAGAATTCAGGATTAATTTGACAGATTGTAACAACAACCAATCAGAAAACTTTAGGTGGTGAACAGAAGAATCTCAGAACAACTATCTTCTCAAAACCACAATAAATAACAACAATACCCATATCTCTCTTCACAAAGCATTAACATCATTGAAAGCTCATCTAAACAGAAAACATTTCACAGTTGTGAAAAGCGTATTTGTGAGAATACTGTGCTCTACAGAGTACTACATGGACCACAAGTGAGACAAACTCATAAACAATGTTCTAGATGAACTGGATCAAATCCTCAACATGTCTTAAAGGTTCACTCTTCCTTCCATGGGCTTTCATAAGTAGTTCATTCACCAGATTGGTATGTTGAACATACGCTATTTTGCTTATATCCAAACAGCTATCTGTAGAGTAATATTGCTGTGACACTTTTGAAAATACAGTTTCATTTCTGAGACATAAGTAAGTGAAATATAGCATGTCCTTAGACTTTAAGCCCAAAAGAATGGGCATTTCATTAGTAAAACTCCAATTCATAATTTGTTAATTTCATTTTAGGTTTTCCTTTGGGGATTTCAGAACCTATTTTCTATCTTCCAAACTTCTAACCTACTTACTTTTATATCAAACAGTCAAATAGTAGTGGGTGACTTTTGAAATAAGGGTTTGATGTGAATCGTATTACTTGACATATGTAGATCTATCTCATGTGGCAATGAATCTGGATTTAGTGTACAGAAGAAGGAACTAAATATGAAGAATGGGGTATGACAAGTATATCTATGAACATAAGGGATTAAGGGGTGGCAGAAATAATTTGCATAAATGGAAGATAATGCAGTAGGCAAAAAGAAAAAGAAACAGAGAAACCAAGATCTGGAGAGTAGTTACTGGAAAGTGAAAGTCACTGATAGACAGAAGCTATAGCCAATCATAGAATACCAGTTTGCTGTAGTGGTCAAGACACCAGGCTAGAAATTGGGAGACGGTGAGTTCTAGTCCCATCTTAGGCATGAAGCCAGCTGGGTGACCTTGGGCCAGTCCCTTCCTCTCAGCCCTAGGAAGGAGGCTCTGGCAAAAAAATCTTCCAAAAATCTTGTTGAGAAAACTCCAGAGACTAGTCCAGGCACTCACCAGGAGTCAAACTTTGACTCAAAGGTATTAAGAAAAAAAAGGAAAAAGGTCAGTCATACTGTTGTGCACTTTCTCAAGAGACCTGTAATTTTATTCCATACAAAGACGCTACAGTATGAGATGGACATCAAATCTCGTAACTGTTTATTGGATCACCAAGGTATTCCTTGTTCAACTTTCCAGTTTGGAAGTAAAAAGTCTAGATAATTGAGACTGAAGAGTTTTCAAGGGTTGTGTGGTGTGTAACCTAAGCTGAGAGTGTGATTATTTAAACCTACGTCTTTTCCACTGTGGTGGAAATTTGGGGTTGTACTTATTCCCAAGTGTGGTTCTTCCAAACACTTAACATTATTTTTCATGCCTAGGTGGACAGTCCATTTTTAACTTTGCAAAGGGCTGCATTCCGACGTCTGAGTGCAATACAGTAATGAAAACGGAATATAATGGAGTTGTTGGAACTGCGACAGTTACGTGTGATAAGGCACCCTCAACAGTGGCATCACTCATCCTCTGTCTCTCTGGACTCCTTCTAGTGAAGATCCTCCTGTAATAAACTTTTGAAGCATTTCAGTAAGGAAATAATCTGCCTTGCCTTCTCCATGGAATCTTCTCTGGAGACTACTCTCTCAAGGCCATTTACAAGATACAATAATAAATAAAACCCCTAATAAAAAAATAATCAATCCAATGGTTGTTGCTCGTACTTCCAATAGGAGCAGAATGAAAAGCAGCTTGCCATTTCTCTTTTTGCATAAGGGGCGGAGGTTGCATGTGATGTCACAAATAGTTTTGCCACTTGCCCATTGTGTCCCCATCCTGAAGTCCTAGACCCACACATTGTGTACCACAATCTCCTTGATATTATTGAAAACTAGGACATTGGAGGAAGCCTGCTGGATCATATCCAAAATCTGTTTCCTGCATAGGAAACTTGCTCCACAGGTACTTGGAATTGTAGTCCAAGGCATCTCAAGAGCACCAGCTTGCCAATCCCTGGCTTAGCTAGCCCAGTTTCTTATTCCTCAGCGAAGCTGTCCAGATCTTCCTGGACAACCCATGAACAAGACTTGTGTCCAATTGTTTGTGGACAGAGACGTGAAACCTTACACCTAGTGTGGTCTGCAGGAGTCCTCACTTTACACATTCTTAGCCCATGCACCAGATTGTGGTATTTACATTTCCACTTGAAGTAAGGCAAAGGTAAGCTATGGTTTCTTCTGCCCTTTTCTTCATGGAACTGAACTGAAGCTATACAAAGCTTCAGTTCAGAGATTTGACTCAACACGGATTTTTTCACATCAAAGGGACAAGTCAAGTCAAGGCAATGAATTGATTCAGTAGCCTCCAAATCAGCTTAAATCTTTGGAAGACTTTTGCACACACCCAAACGCCTCCTTTTCTCTTGAGGATCTGAATTGTCAAATCAAACCACCCATGTGAATGGGATCTACCATTCAAAGCAGTGCTCTTCCACCACGTGGCTTTGTAACCCACCAGATGCTGCAACCACCATCAAGTCTTTGAGTATAATGGAGCATAGCAACATGTCTCTTTCACAAATAGACACTGTTTTATAAATGCAGCTTTCCAAAATAGATGCTTCTCTATACCAACTCTTGGGTTGACCCTGATGGAATTGAGCGGCCCGTGCATTTGTCCCATGAAAGAAACCCTCTGGGTCAGTGTTTCTCAACCTTGGCAGCTTTCAGATGGGTGGACTTCAACTCCCAGAATTCCCCCAGCCAGCCATGCTGGCTGGGGGAATTCTGGATGTTGAAGTCCACACATCTGAAAGCAGCCAAGGTTGAGAAACACTACTCTGGGTGGATGGCTTCAATTCTGTTACACTAAAACTCACTTTGATATCTTTTACCCAAGTGCTGGGAAGTTAGATATGACCAAATTTCATGCCTCATTGTACAGTTCTGCAAGCTAAACAAAGGTGTGGTCCTGAAGACCATATGCTGTGCCATGTTTCCATTCCAGGATATGGCCAATGCAGCAACAACATCATATTACAACAGGGCCATAAAAGTATATATTCCCTTTTATAAGAACTGCAGTCCAAAGGGTAGAAATTTACTTCTGTCCTGGTTCAATCAACCTCAAAGTAACTTTGCGGTTCCATCAATCTCTTGCCAACTCCACAGCACCACCTACTTTACAGCAGCAATCCTGACGTAACCAAAATCACACGGAAGGAGACTCAAAACTCTCCCCAGCAGCAGTTCCTGATATGGTAAGAGCACTGGGAAGGACATTTGCCCCACTGAGAGGGGAAGGGAGCCTCATCCTATCACCCAGCTCCATATGGATCTTTGGGGACAAAATGGTTCCCCACCCCAATACAAGAGATTTTTTTAAATGCTGATCTCAAATCAGGAGGTATCTCCAGCCTTTAGTGGGTATCAAAACACCTTAGGACTTCTGTCTTGGGGATCCACGTCTTCCTGCAATGAAGCAAGGGCCATTTTTTCCAACCAGGGCCAATATCTTCTTCTGAAAATCTGTAGGCTTTCCAGGGCCACAGAGGAGCTGTGCAAAAACGTGGTGACCTCCCTAAAGATGTTAGGTGGGAATGGGTGAGTTTTAAGTGGCAACGTGGGTGAGTTCAGCCTCCCCTTATGTTAAGGAAAACATCTTAACAATGGCACTGATCAAAAGGGGCGGTTTACCGCCACATTTTGGCAGAGCATCTGGAGAGACTGGAAGAAGGGAGGTGAGAGATGGTGATCAGATTGCAATTTTTCCCTGAAAAGAGAAGTTAACTATCCCTCAAATGTGTCCTTCCTCTCAAACTTGCAATCCGTTTTCTTCACGTCTCACCCGTTTAAAAACGTACACCTTGGAAAGAAAACGTGATTAGGAATTGGCTGTTTTGAGTTAACATTTGTTCCACAATGCAACGTTAAGAAAAACAAATTCAGCCTATTATTCAATGTATATTGAATATTCACAACAAAAACGTTTTCCTTTGTCTGCAGAGTATGAGAGAAAACAAGTCCAAACAGACTGATGAATGAATACATATGAAAAGAAAATACAATGATTCTCCTACAGGTCCTTTGCATTAGGGGGTGAACCAGTTTCACATAGATTTTACTGCAAGACCATTCTGTCAAAATATGCAAAAACTACTGCTGTTTAGTTTGTGGTTTTCCCAAATATTAAAGGTAGGCAGCATTTAAGCCGACAACTGCTTGTCAAATGATCAGGGTCCAGGATCTGAGGACAGGATCGGTGTTCTTAGCTGCATATATACCTGGTCAATGCAAAATTACGTTAGTTTACTCTGAGTGGCAAATCAAACAGATTGTCTCCCTTGATTAGTTCACACTTCGCATGCTCACGTTTGCTACTTTCATGTTAATATTGTTTTTACCAGCTTCAATCTTGGGTCTGAAACATGCTAAAAAGCAAATAGGAAATACATATATGATCTATGAGGATCAAATGGCTTTCATCAGAATATTTATGCTCTCTGAACTAATCTATCTATCTATGTGGTCACTAGGAGTCGAAAATGACTTGATGGCACATAATCAAGCAATCTGGTGAAAACATGTTCCTTTGGCAGGTGGAATTCAGAGATGTTGGAACTGATGTTCTTCAGAGTAAATTGCACTGAGAAAGTTTGAAGCCGTTTGAAAGAGTCTGAATTCAGTACCGGTAGTCCTTGCTTAACGACTGTTCGTTTAACGACAGTTTGAAATTACGACAGCCTCGGAAAGGGTGACTTACGGCCTGGAAAGTACTTCTGGCCATTGTCAAATATCGCCCCCCCTCCCAGTCCCGTGGTTGCATTTCAGGCTCTTGGCAACGATTGGTTGCCAAGCACCCTGCAATCATTTGTTCGTGATTTGCAATCTTCTCTACCAGCTTCCCCATTGGAAGCCAGAGCCAGCAGGGAAGGTTGCAAGTGGAGGGGATGCGGCGGTGGGCAGTTACAGAGCTCAAATCTTCAGGTCCTCCATTCACTGCTGAGAGAGAGGAGGGGAAACAGGACGGAGCGAAAGAGCTTCTCTGCTGAAGGATTTCAGTTCTTTCGCTCTGTCCGCTTAACGGCCCAGGAGATCGCTTAACAACTGCAACCGCGAGCGCCTGGATTGCAGTCATTGAGCGAAGCAGTCACATGGGCATCTCGCTTAATGACTGCTTCGCTCAGCGACCGAGATCCTGGTCCCGATTGGGATCATTAGGCAAGGACTACCCGTAATGCAATTAGGGTAGGCTTAGCATATTGTCAAGCAGTTAAACCAGGACGAAAGGCATAATCGACAAGATTTGCACAGCCAAAGGTGAGAAGCAGCAATATCTATAATGGAGCAAAGAGGGGGCAGAATGATGAAGACAACACAAGCCCTGTGTTGCTGTGTACATGTCACAACATCACTCGTATATATGAAAGGGGCAGAGTTTACTGCATAATAACCTGAAGCCTTCCTCATTTTGTCAAAGGACACCCATGCTGTGGAGCACAGACTTTAGCACTCTTTCCAATCACAGAATAGGGTCCTGGAATGTACAGGTTGGGGAGAACCTTCAAGATCATCTAGTCCAGTGTTGTCCAAACTCGGCCACTTTAAGATGAGTGGACTTCAACTCCCAGAATTCCCCA